GGGGATCCATTGGGAAAGGGCAGTGTCAGGAGGAAGGAGCCAGGCTCTGCTGTGGGATGGCCCAGGCTGGGGAGAGGTTTTGGGGTCCCCTTCTCTGCAGACCCCCAAAGCCCTGGCCGTGTTCCTGGGGGAGCTCTGGTGACCCTGCTCTGGCAGGGGTTGCACTGGGGGAGCTTTCCTCATATCCTGTGGTTCTGAGACGAGCCCCTCGCGCTCACCCCAAACACACCCCCTAAACCCCGAGGCCTTACCATCAAGCGGCGCATTCGCTCCTTCTCGATGCGCTCGTTCTCCTTCTTCTGCTCGCGCTCCGTGTTGGCGTGGTAGGTGGCCACCGCCTTGGTCAGCTTCTGGATCTTGCCGGTGACCGAGCGGTGGTACTCCTTGAAATCCTTGGCGTGCTGGAGGATGCTATTGAGGTATTCCTGGAACGAGAGGCGGGCAGGGCTCGGGTGCCGTGCTGAGTTTACACGTCTAACGGCGCGAGTTAATTCGGATTAACTCCTTTTACGTTTAATTAAATGGAGTATTTGGGTTGCAAGGGCTTACAGAAATCATCGAGTCAAAGCAATTATCAACTAGACCCAAAAAACCCCGACCGGGGCGCCCAGGACCAAAACCCCCAGCCCAACACCGAGTCCCAAAACCCCCGCCCCAAATCCTAGACCCAAAAAAAAAACCCCCCAGCAGGGCCTGACCTGGTGCTTCTGCCTGCGTTTCCGCTCCTGCTCGATCTTCTGCTGCTTCTCCAGCTTCTCGGTGATGCGCGCCTCCCGCAGCGACTGCCGCTTGCTGCGCTTGTAGGCCTTGGCGTTCAGGGCCGTTTCCAGGGCCGTGTCTCGCCTCATGCACACCACCACCTCCTGGCGCAGCTTTTGGGAGCGATTCGGATTAAAACAAGGGGAATTAATTCCACAAAGAAGCCGCAGAGCGTCACGAGAGCGCGGGTTTTGAGCTCCCGTGTTAACGAACCCCGATTTCCTCCGGCGCCGAGCTTACCTGGCGCTGAAAATTAAGCAGCCTGAGGGCTTTAAGTTCAATGGTAGCTTTGGTTCTCAGGTCACCGGCCAGGGAGCCAGGAAGGTTTTCCAGCTCTTGGATCCTGTGAGCGATGCGAGCCTGCAGCCTGCGGGGAAGGAGAAGGGGATTTAGGGAGCAGGAGGAGATGCCAAGGGCAGATCTGGTTTGTGGGGGCTTGATCTCAGGCTTCAGAGTCTTAATTTTCAATCCATGGGGGGAGGGCAATGGGATGGGGTTCACCAAGGCCAAGTGCTGGGTCCTGCAATGACCCCGTGCAGGGCTCTAGGGTTGGGGACGAGTGGCTGGGAAGGAGCTGGGGGTGTTGGGGACAGCAGCTGAACATGAGCAGCAATGGGGCCTGGTGGGCAACAAGGCCAAGGGCATCCTGGGGTGTGTATGGGGTGTATTGGGGTATATGGGGTATATTAGGGTGCATATGGGATGTATATGGGGTGTATAAGGGGTGTATTGGGATGTATATGGGGTGTATATGGGCTATACTGGAGTATATGGGGTGTACTGGGGTATACTGGGACATATAAGGGGTATATTGGCATGTATATGGAATGTATTGGGGTATATTGGGGTGTATATGAGGTGTATTGGGGTATATAAGGGGTATGTTGGTGTGCATGTGGGGTGTATATGGGGTATATTGGCATGTATATGGGGTGTGTTGGGGTATATTAGGATATATTTGGGTATATTGGGGTATATTAGGATGTATGTAGGGTATATTGGCATGTATATGGAGTGTGTTGGGGTATATTTGGGTACGTAAGGGGTGTATTGGGGTATATTGGGATGTATATGGGTATATTGGCGTGTATATGGGGTGTATTGGGGTGTACTAGGGTATACTAGGATGTATACGAGATGTATATGGGGTATATTGGCATGTATATGGGCTGTATTGGGGTACATTGGGACATATATGGGGTGTATATGGGATGTATATGGGGTGTATTGATACTAGAATGTATATGGGGTATATTGGGGTATATTGGGGTCTATATGGGGTGTATTGGGGTATACTGAGGTATATAAGGGGTCTATTGGGATGTATTTGGGGTGTATTGGGGTATATGGGGACGTATATGGGGTGTACTGGGGGAAATAAGGGGTGTATTGGGGTATATTAGGGTATATTGGGGTATATTAGGATGTATAGGGGGTATATTGGGGTATATTAGGATGTACATGAGAATTGGGGTGGTTGTAGGTCCATGGAGCTTCTCCCCCCCCTCTGCTCTGCCCTGCTCACACCACAGCTGCAATGTTGGGTCCAGCTCTGGGCCCTCAGCTCCACAAGGACAGGAACTGCTTGGAAGAGTCCAGCAGGGCCACAGAGATGAGGGGCAGACCCAGCAGCCATGGGGAGCCAGTGGCCTTGCCGTGTTTCCTGACCATCCAAGCGCTATCACTTGGAGCATGGACCACTCGGTGTC